TTATGGATATCGCAATGGGGGGTATTTTTCCAGAACAAGTATATTCACTATCTTATGTGGGTATTTAGAAATCTAAAAATTTATCTGATGCAGAAGAGCACTATCAATTTTGCATTCTTATAGAAGCTAAAATACACATTCTGTGATTTCCTTCGAAGGGAAAGTTGATAAACATTTAGAAGAAAACATTAACAGATGGTGATAGAAAAAAATTTGCTAGTGATACATGCCAGATCACAGTATATAAAACAAGGTACAAAACAACACACAAATCATGATTTAGGAAACATGCAAACAATGTATAACACCACAACAACTAGGGAACACAACCTAAATCGCTTAAATGAAAATGAAATATAGACTTACAGATTTCCCCATTCTCTACATGGAAGAGAAGCAAACATGTATGAAGAGATTTTTATGCTATCAGGCACATTCTTAATTCAACAATATTAATACATTGTACAGACATACCATATCTGAACTGTAATTTCCACATCCTATTCATTTATCATAGTTTAAATATTATATCCGAAATAAGTCTACACCTTGCACAATTCTAAAGTGGTGATAGGAAATATTTCCAAGACAACACAATGCAGCCCAGAACAAGATAAAGCTGTGCTCTAGCAGGGTGATCAAGATGAGGCTTAGAGTTTGCAGAAGAAAATCTTTTTACAAAGTGCCTAGAGCAAATCCACCCCCAGAAAAACACAACCACACACCATCTAACTCTAAGTGTACTTTCTTAAAAAAAATAAAAAAAAAATCTTTACATCTGCTATCTGCAAGTCCTACCTGTTTTAAGATACCTATGGTTTTGATAATAAATCTTTGCTGCCATCCACAGTTTCGCTTTGGGCACGTGCAAAAAAAAAAATAGATTCAGCCATGCTTTGAACTCCATTCTTCCCAGATTCAGAAGAGATGTACGTGTGCGTGTGCATCACTAAGGCACACAGGGAAGCAAAGAAGCTGATGTCCTTCCATTGTTACATTAGGCTTGACACAGGCAGCAGCTGCCTTCCAGTAAAATAGCGGTGGTGTCTTATTGCCTTCTCCCAATTGCTCCATGGCTAAGACACTCCCAACACATGGGAGGATAGAAGAGAAATGGAGCATGGACAGCGATGCTGAGTACCAGCACATGAGCACAAAAGTTGATGAAGCTGGAGCCGGGAAGACCTGGGACTGACACATTTGTGTTTTACCTCAAGCCCTCTTAACGCATGTTTCTCATAACCAAGTCTCAGGCACAACTTGAATGAACGAAGGAACAGTTAAGGACTTAATTTGAGACATACTGGAACGCAGTACCCTTCCCTACTCCCCTGCCTCTGCATAGCTCAGTTCTGTAGTACAGGCTATGCCAGAAGCGCCATGCTAATTGGCAAACTATTGAGTTCAGAGTAATCGAACACACACGGCATACACACAATTCTGGCCATACGAATACGGTCCTGCTCAGAAGTATATTCAGTGGCTCTTATCCACTAAGTGACTTAAGGATGGTGCTGGTGTTGTAAGCCCTTACAAGGAGAGCATTTGGAGTGAAGTACACAGAACGATCATGTTTCTACTCTGCTTTAAATAACCAGAAGCCCATGGAAAAACCCACAACCAAATAAGAATTCCCAACAACCACCTGGGTACTTACGGCTTCATGTTGAAAATATCTTTATAACCAGACAAATTTGTTTCTTTGTTTTTATGCTTTTCAGCTACGAGCTTTTCTTTAGTCCAAGTCATTTGCACCTTTTCTGGCGCAGCAGCGGCCACACTTGCTTTGACAGCTGGAGCTGAGTGGGACGCAGTGTTTCTGTCATGGATTAACTGAGCCTGACCAAAGGGGAGAGGAAAAAAGAACCCAAGATTCAGCCAAAGAGAGCATATGTAGATCAGAGATTATAGTCTTGAAATGCAGTTTCACCATATTGACACAAAAAGAAAACACAGGGAAAGACACCTTATTTTGTGAACAAATAGAGTGTTTTGTCTACAGCATGACATAAAACTGTTTTTGTATATATATATATGTATGTATATATATGTAGTTATTAGCTTGTATTTGCAGGATTAGATCTAGAACAGGACATTATTTTCATAACAAAACTAAAGTGAAGTTGAATCTGACCTGAGGTGAGATTTTATTAACACCAGGAGCTTATGACAATAAACAAATTTAAAACCACTGCTCATATTTTCCCTCAAGAGTTTCCATCAGTTTTATTGCTTATAATCTTCTGACACTGTTGTAAACACAATCACCGGAAAATTTAATGTACCACCATCAGGACTTGCTCTGTGGGGTCGCTCTCTGGCTCGCTCGCTCCCTCTGGAACAGAGTGTTTCTCCATCCAAACACAGACTGCATAACAAAAGTCACTCGCAGCCTCACCATGAAGCAGCTTTCCTTTCCTCTCCTCCCTTTTAATAGCAAAAATTCAATAAACCACACTTAAGAAAACATTATTGTTCTCAGATGCATAAACACTTCTGTGTTCTCCACTCCCCTTGTTCCTCTTGAGGAAAGAGGAACAGAAGGAATACTTTGCATTCATTTTATGTTTTACTTTCCCTCTTAATAGTATATAGGCTTTTTATTTTCCAACAAAACCAAAACAAACACAACACTTTAGAGTCCTTTAACTGTAAGTGAATTGGTATTCATGTGGGGTTTTTGAAACCTTTAGCATGTAGTTACAAAGTCTCTTCACAAAGATTTGTTAAATCATGGAATTAATTGGTGTCCTGAGTCCATATGGGAACTTACTCCTATGGATATGTTCATGAGGGTCATGTCCCTCCAATATATGTGATGACTCAGAAGAATGGATTCATCCAGTCACAGACAAAAGCATGGACATAACTGAAGCGGATGAGAAAACTGCTTTCCAGTTCTAAGCATTAGTGCATTCCCCAGTCGTTATAGTAATTGTGGCTATTTTTAACTACCTGAGGGCTTCTGTATATTTTTTTTTAAGTTTCATAGATAGCTATCCGTGATGGTCTTAATACCACCCCAAAAGATTTAAGTCAGTCTTTTAAACAGAAGATCAGTTCAGTTTTTCCCCCACAGTTACCTACACACTTTCTCCTATTACCAGTGAATACAAGGACCCACTTGCTAGGCACTTTTATATTTTTGTCTGTTACACATGATAATTCATCAAGATTATGAATCAGAAATTTCTACGAATACAGTAGCCATCATGAGAATGAGAAAAAGTTAACACACACAGCAGGTACTACACACACTAAACAGCAATAGCCAATGAACTAAAACTTCAAAGTAGCAACTACAAGGCGAATTCAGTATAACTGCGCTTTAGAGAAGAAAGTTTTCTGTTTTTAAAAGACAAGGCCAAAAGAAATTCTGGACCTATAGCACATGCTTAAACAATGCAAAAACCAACAAAAGCATGTTTGTTAGTGCTATTGTGATAGCCACCTAGTTACATGGAAAACACCACATTCTTCTCATACTTCCTAAAGGAAGGGAAATACAGAGGAATACAGCATTTCTACAAACTAGATACACATCTTTAGTGTGTAGTAGACTAGCAACACTTGAAGTGCACACTAAAGGTACTGATTACATCTGTCCATTTCCTAACGCGCTGTGCAGAAAAGTGACATGTATGGGGTAATAATGGCTTTTTGATAAGCATCGAAATCTTGTCTCCTCTAGTTTAATAGGTCTTAACATATCTGAGCAGTCTGAGACGCTTCAGCACAGAAACTCTAAGGAGGGCAGTGTTCTGTGGAAGCATGAAATACGCTTACTAACCAAACACCTACTATCAAAACATTTTAAGAAATGGAAGGAGAAGCATCTTTGCTTCTAACTCTTTAGAAAATAGGCTCTCTTGGAGAACCTGAATCTTTCTTTTATGGAAATACTGGGTCTGAGAGAAAATAGGGTGCAATTCACGCTACAGAAACTTCATCTAGGACAAAAAAATTAGAGTGAGATAATGAATTTAGGGAATACTAAAATTAAAAATTAAGGACTGTTTCATAGCAATGACAAATCAGGTTATTAATTCATAGCTCAGTTTTCAATAGTGGCACTTCAAGTATTACAATGAAAAATAAATATCCAGCCAGTACTATGTCCAACTACCTCCTCCTCTGCATAGTCATTAGGCAGCAGTGCCTGTATATCCTGGCCAATGGACTGTGGACTAGAGTAGCTTTTTCTTCTGATTGAGCCTCGAGACTCATCAGTGATGCTCTGAATCTGGGATAAAAAGGTTACCAATGACAAAAAACAGTCTACAGAAAAAAAAGCAGATAATTGTGTTATTCAAAATAACAATTGTCTGCATTTAAATGGATGAGAAGTGGTAATAAGGGTTCTTATAAGTCTAGTTTCTTTTCACACAGATGCCATTTATTCATATATACAAAGCCCCAGTGCATTGACGTATTTCTTAAAAATGTGAGCTTTGGGCTTCTAATTAAAACAGAAACAGGTCAATTACTTAAGTGGAAAAGAATCTTGTTTCAGTTATGTTACATATATGTAAAATTCAAATTCCAAATTCCACCAGAAGTTAATAATCTGTTTTACTGAATTCAGCGAAAGAATTTACACATGATGCAAGACTCCTCTAGGATTTTTCTTTTCTTCCAATTCCCCTGAACAGTCAGTAACTGAGACAACCCCAGGAGCTTAAGTCAGAGATAGGCATTTTACCAGAAGAGGCAAAGCTGGATGCTGAGCTCTGCTGGTGTTTTCTTATTGTCTTAAACACAAGGATTTAAAGATAGCTTGACTGATCCTCCCTTTCTTCTTCTGATGAATGGAAACCAACATGCTACAGCATCCTTGGAGGGCTACACGTACTAGACATTGCTTTCTTGGCCTCCAGAAGTGGTGAAACTAAATAGACTTGAGAGACAGTTTTCTCTTCCTCCATTTATGATGTTTTTAGAATTTCCATTTGCATTTAAGCAGAAAAAAGTCAAGGGTCCTCTGCTGCTTTCACTCAATTCTCGCCACATTTGAGTCACTGAGTTCATATTAAGACTTTCATCTCACAAGATGCTTTGTCTAGCAGATTCTCTATAGGTAACAGGGACCGACACTTACATAAACCAATCTGAAGAATCAACTCCAAGTTCTGAAGTATCTTATCTCCATTATCTCCATTACTAGTCATTAGTTTGTGAAATTATTAGTACTGGAAATACAGTAGTGAATAATTAAGTATCATCTGCAATCACTGGACATTTAATATAGAAAGTTACTGCAATCAAACAAGCAGCCAAAGGCCTAAGACAAGACTTTAGGCCAAAGACTTAAGAATCGTTTCCAGTTAAGTGTATATCTTGACTATATACTGACGAACTGAAGGAAGGTCTAAGGAAATATTAGAGCAGTAAATAATCCCTTCTGAATACATCTCTAGAAGAGAAGGTAATTAAATTATCTATTTGAAACACTGACTTTTTTTTTACTCAAAAACTTCTACAAACTGATTTTATTTTCTTCTACTGTATATGACAATTATGTTACTGAAACCATTCTGCAAGGATCCTACCATGTGCTGTAGGTGCAATACAGAGAAACAAATAGAAATCAAATGTGACAAAAATGACCATCCTTCCCTTGTCATCCCCTACTTAATATTAAAAGGAAAAAAGTTACAGATTAGTAAAGTCATCAGAAGTTTTGACTTCCCAGCCAGAAAGCAGACTCCTGGTTTTCCAAACCCCACTGCTCAGTCTGCATCTCTCCAGTGCAGATGCTGATACTCTGCGAGTCTTCTCTGCTCTCCACCTACACGCACCCACCGTTCTGTCAATGTTACCTGGCAGAAGCAATCTACACAACAGTGCTTTGTGTTGAGCAGCTGGACACAAAGCAGCAGCAGGAAGAACAACTGCCTTCCCATTGCTCCAACGATATCACTGCCTGGCTCAATATTTATTAGTCAGGACTAACCAGAGAAGGAAGCCAACAGCCACCAAGTAGTGCAGCAGAGAAGTGAATCAGGTTCTATAGTTTCATCTTTGCAGTGCTATTGTCAAAGTCAAGTAAATGAATGATACATGCACCTAAGCCTGCAGACATTCTGCTTTGCGGGCATATGTTCTATTTACACTCGAGTAGAGGCAAATCAACCAACTTCCTCAAAAGAGGGGACAAAAAAAAATCCTCAGTCCCCTGTGCCCTAATTCCATAAGAAAACTCAACTGTCACATAGGCAAGATCAAACAGTTTCCGGAAAGTACCAGAAGAGTTCAGGGAAGGGCATGTAGGTGCTGAGGACCCCTCAAGGACAGGGGAATGTCTATGAGGGGGACAGCAAGAGAATGCTGCTCAAAGAAAAATCTCATCTTCATGAAGGTTTGAACTTGGTTTGAAGAGGGACAAGCACGTAAGTGAGATTAAAACACTAGTCTTGTAAAAAGGAAGCAACAAAGTTGAAACCACCACTGAAGAGAAGTCAGAAGTTGGAACATGAGGGTCATCTTCAAGTGTTTGGAGACAGGTTTGGAGACATAGATATCAAGAGAATGAAAACAAAAGCATAACAGTTCACACTGGCGATACTAAGGAGAATAAAGTTTCAGATGTTATCATAGAACTGGAGGGGTTCTAGGCTGGCACAGCTCTTAAGAAAGGATGAGGAGATTAGAAATGCGTGGCACACCAGGTCTACATACTCAAATTCCAAATTCAGGAGGAAGTGAGAGGCATAACTAGCCAAAGTTTTATGAGGAAAGCCGTGAAGAACAAGGGAAATTAAAATAACTTAGTCAGAGGGAACAGGTAGATATGGCTTTTTGTTTGGACAGAAGAAGGTACAACAAATAAGATTCTCTTATCTCAAGGGCAAATTAAGTACTAGATGTTATTGCAATTATCAAGGACTTCATTTTACACCTTGACATAAATTCAGTGGTGTTTTGCACATCTTGGATTTCATCCTGCCTGATCTGAAGGAACAAGTCAAAGCTGTAATAGTGATGGTTATACTCAGAAAAAAAGTGATTAATAGTAAGAACTATGATTCCAAAGAAAGGAATGGGAGCTTCCAAACACTTTGAAGACTGTGCAAGCCAACTCAGAGCCAAGAAATAAATTCCAGTGGAGAACAACAAATTCTATTCCTGTGAACTACAGAACCTTATAGAGTCCTTTGGCTACTTACGATTCATGAGGCAATTATGCCCTCTATACCAATTAAAAAAAAAAAAAACCCACACACCACACACACACAGTAGAGCAACTAATTACCTAACTCCACTGGTGGAAAACTGCTAGTGTATTCAAAAAAATTTAGGAGAAGAATGAAGACGACTAAGAACAATTAAGTAAGCGAAAACAGGAAAAGTTGGCTCTTAGTGAAGAAATCATGGATGCTAAGATCAAAAGAAAACTACCTTGACACAGACAAGAAAGGAAGAAGGACATACAGCAAAGTCTGTTATAGCAATACTGGACATCTTTAGGAAGCTTTAAAAAACTCCTACAAAATGGAAAAGGGTAAGCAGGGATAAAAACAAAAGGGACTGCATAGGTACGTAGGATTAAACAAGAAAAAGGCTTAGGCATAAGATGAGTTACAACTATCAGTAGACAAAAGCAACAACAAGGAAAAGCCCTAAAACTATTTCATGAACGAACAGTTAAACACAGTATATCTCTCTTATTTAGCAGGAGACAGAAATCATTACAGATTAAAAAAAGCATTCAATACCTTTTGCATCACTACTCAGTAAGGATTTATTATAACTGGACAGTTAAAAGAATTAAACAAGGGGAGAAAAACATGCTGAAGAAGAAAAAAGGTTATATTAAAAAATACAAATATTCAGGAGAATGCAGCTGCATGAAGCTTATCACTGCAATCTGCAAAGTAATAGCTGAAGAAAACAGTCATACAATTAGCAATAATTTTTTTTTTTTTTTTAATTCACTGGAGACTAGTAGGGGTGGCAAACAGCAAACATAGCATCTCTATCTGGAAAAAGATGGGCTCACAGGATTATAGACCAGTCAACCTGATTTTGGCACCAGAAACTACTAATCAATACACAAAACACTCAAAACAAAATAGCAGTAAGTCAGTGCAAGTTGAATGAGATCATACCGCAAAACAAAGCTAATTTATCAGGCCCAGCTGATAAATCATAAAACCTTAAGCTACCAATATGTGTCGAGTTTGGAAATGCTATGAATATTTTCCACACTGCTGCTCAAATCTTTTGTTAGCAAGTGCTTGTACTAATCTTAAAGTCAGGATAACTAAGCATGTGTCCCATAAACATAAGGAAAAATTCACATTGTTTTAATCTAGCAAGTGAAAAGTGACAGAGAAAGTAGCATAGAATGCTGTTCTAAAATATTTTTATTGACCAGTTAGAAATTTTTAGAAGCCATAGCCAAGAACTATTATTTTCTGATTTTTCACAGAATA